GTTTAATAAAATAAGTAGTTGTCTTAGAATTATGTGATATATTCCGAACAGCTCAAAACGAAATGTTTGTAATCTTCGTAGAATGAAAACTTGATCTTAAAAATAATTATACCATATTATAAAAATCTAGTACTAATCACTTCTAGTAAATATATTTATTATACCTGACGTTTTATTCTAGGGTTTCGTTCCAATATGAACCGCTGTTGTAAGACAAGGTTCATCCGATTTACCTGAAAACAAATTAACTTTAAAATAATATTATTCTATATTTTAATTTAATGTATGATAATTTTGTTATTTTCATGATTATATCTCATCAGTAATATTTGTATAAGATGAAAATCGTAGTGTTAATAAGTATGTTTTAGCATAAAACATTTTGAATTTAATGGAAAATTAACCATAATTTAATTATTGATTCCAAATATGTATGGAATATTAAGAAAATACTTCAAAATTAAAAATTTTCAACTATATAATGTTCATTCTATAATATAATATGTATAACCTCTTGTTCCGTGGAGTGACCAATTCTGTATAATACTATAATTGCTAAATTTATTAATATAGCAATCATAGCAAATGCAATATTATAATAATTTTCAAGATAGTCTCTAGGAATAACAAGTTACTGGATAAAAAATGATATCGCAACAAATTTCCTGCAACTGATACAACAATGACCGACAAACCAAAATTGATCTATTAATATGGTTTAAATATTCTTCAACTTCTAAATACATATCTCTGAATGTACTTAAGCATAATTTTCTTTCCTGTATGTTTCATTTATTTTGTACACATCCATCGTATGTACATTATTAGTATAATATATTCATGAAATGACTACATTCATCCACATGTATACAAAGTTGGAACCTAAAAAATATGTTTTAAATGAATTTAATTCAAATTTACTAGTCAATTATTTATGAAACTATACAATATATTTGAATATTAATGATTACTATTTGTTTATTCCTGCATTTTGACACTGATTTTCATTCTTATTGAAGAATTATAACACTTGCTATAATATGTACACCTATTCCAATAATGAAAAACCAATTCATTTAATTCTTAGCCAACTGCATTCAAGTGAATCATTTTTCATGCATTTTTTCAGATTAGATAGTATTATGGATAGTTCTTTATCAAAAATATGCGCCAAAATAGATATAAATTTTCCAATCCCATCAATTCAAAACAACAAATCACAATAAACGACGTTACTTCAGACATTTCCTTATCAGATCTTTTTATCTATAAAATACAATTGAATACAAATATTTTATAGATCATTTTACAATATAATATTAAACTATAAATACTACCAATTAATAAAAGAAATTTATATATTGAAGTGTCTACTTGTTGAAATTCTAAGTTCATTGTGCTATTAATCGCGTTAAAATTAATGTTTAATAAAATATTTATAATTTATAAAATATTTAGAATTTGTATCACTATAACGAACGTATTAAAATATCAACGTGTTATGATGAATTAAATTTGTAACTATAATAAACATAATACTTTTCAATGTATCATTACATTTGCTGGGTCCATACAAATTACTAAATACTGTTGTTGCCATTACCCATTGGTTGGAGTCAGCTGCAAAATAGACCAAGACAAATTAATAGATATCGTAATAACAAACAACCCTTTGTTATAAAAATGTCAATCGTAGTTTATACAACCAATACCACATATTAAAAACTCTATTAACATTACTTAATGATCTCACACTCATACTTGCTTATATTTATTAAAACATTATAATATTACATTTAAAATATACAAAGAATAAAAACTAGTGTCTTAGAATGTATGGGCTTATTCCCTATGGTGATATTAACTGAATTGAAACTACCAATTTTATTATTTTACTATTAGACTCATAAATATTGAGAAGTAACAAAATAATTATTACAATATGCCAGAAGTGAAAATCAAATATCGTTTAGTTATATTTATATGCTGATATACTTAAACAGTTATTTTCAAACTCATAACCTGATTTAATTATTATAAGTTAAATAATAGCAATACGTAACTGAACGAAGTAATACCAAAAGCATTGGCTTACTTAATAATTCAAATTCTATTCAAATTAAATAATAAAAAATAAGATATTCCATAATCTTAATAATTTTAGTCTATTAACAGCTATTGGTTCAAGTTAGTGTTGTTTGCAGTAAAATTTATTTCTGAGGTTGGACGATATTTCGTCCTTTACTTTCAAGGTATAAATAATAGTATATTCATTTGTATATTATAAATTTATTATTTTTGTTGCTCATTGAAATAAATTTTCGTAAAATTATGAAATAAAAATTAATTATGTTTTTATTTAATACGTATATCCCTTACAAAGGTATTTTTTCTCAAAATTTATTACAATGTGTCAACGTCTACTTAGGTTTTGAAATTTCAATACAAGATTTTAATTTAAAGTTATGTTAAATGCGTATTTAAAGATTGCAAAGGTATTCAAGATATTATTTTTGAATAATTTCATCTTCATTTGAAAAATGAATCCTTGCTATTGCCTAGATAAACCATGACGTCTACTCGTTAAACTAGATTGTGCTAAATTGAGTTATATAATTTGATATTGAGTATCATAAGCTAACTTTTATTTTTAGTATATTCAGTATGGCCGATTTTCTTAAAAACTTTATCTACATCAACGCAAATCACACCGATATTCTTTCTACTGAACTTGAGCCTGTAAAAACCGTAAACTGTCTACAAATATATTTAATTTTATTAGATAAGTGATTCAACTGTAAATGTATTGTATAGATTGTTACATAAATCCCTACTTTAATTCCGGAATATGTCATTTAGGTGGATAATAGATCGCTATCTTTTGTTAAGTGCATTAATTTACTGTTGAATAAACTCATGATGTAATATTTAACTCATATTCTCGAAAACTATAAGACTAGATACGATATTTCTATATCTCAATATAATATGATTGATGTACATATTATGTATGATTTGTTTCCGAAACAATTATTCAGGAACAAAACTATTTTAAAATGGTCAATATAACTTGACCAATGATATAGGTATCGGAAAAAATTTTAAATTTGAGCATAAATAAAAGTATAAAAATCATCATAGACAAAAGTATCAGAAGATGCTGTTTTATTTCTTAATATCAATATCAATCAGAATTACATATTGAATTGTTTGGGTTATGGCTTTTTTTTGTTTGTGATGGATGAACTACACACATTAACAGTTCTGAAACAATAACGAAAATATAAATACCAATAACATTTTAAAGAAAATAATGTGCATTAAAGGGTTATGATATTATATTATTTCAAAATCACAATTTTAGATCTTAATAGTGGCAATAATATATAACAATATTAATAATGTATTTGTTCTAAAAAAAATAAAATAAATAAAAATAATTTTAATTACACGAACATTTGTAATTTTTTGATAGTTAATTGTAAAAGGATGATTTAAAAAATGAATTATGGTTTTTTATTTTATAATAATTAAGAGACTTTTGTAATAAATAATATGATATTGATTAATTTAAATATTTAATCTTTTGAAATAAATAACATTTTATGTTGCAGATTAATTATAAACCGTATAAAATTATAAAATTTGACATTTAAGGATTTAACAATAATTAAAAATTGTGTATCCTATCATAAAAACGTCTGATTATTATTACTTATTATATTGTTTTTTTTTATTGTTGTTGTGTTAACTTGAAAGTGTTTTAAGAATGAAGAAAATAATTCATAGAAAGAGAAGAATTAAAAGTTATAAATGGAATGATTTAAAAATAGAAAAAACTATGAATATGGAACCGCTTTGAAACATTAATAATAGTATATCACATATTCGTAGGTATCTACATCATAATTAATTACATTGTAACTAATCGGAGTAAATAGTAATTTATAAATAATAAAAAAAAAGCCTTATATCTTATTTATATTTCTAAGTGTACCAATCAAAATTTAAAAACATGTTACATAAAAAGTATTTTATACTGACCATCAATTTGTTGGTGGATGGGATGGCTTTGGCGACGGTTTTGACGGCCTTATCAGATTGGACTTGTCCGACGACAACGATGTTCATGGATACCTTTTCAGCGCCCATTTTTGATTTTTCGGTTGGTTTTTGAGGGTTTAAGTAACAACTGCAAGTTTAAAATATAAATAAAATGTCATTAATTCGAAATCAACAGAAGATATTAATTACTCACCAAACAATAATAATGCACAAAAAAACGTGTTATGCCGGAATCGAGATCTCGGTTGCCTTTATATACACTTCGGTTAGTTGACTGAAAGTGGGGTGACGACGTGGCGTGATCATTGTAATATTGCGACAATTGTACATAGCTATTAGAATACAAGGATTTTGTTAAATTCAATTTTTTTATCTTCAAAATATTTAGTTTTACACGATAACATGATATTAAAATTTTTCTGAAATATCTGTAAAATTAAAACGAATTTGCTCAGGACTATGATTATTCAATGTATTATTTATACTTTTAAATCATTGTATATAAAAATATATTAAATACTTATATTGCTTTATATTACTTTACTTTTATACTTATTGATACGGCTTGTAAGTATCGTGTTTCAATATTTAACTGAAATCGCAAGAATAATATTAACAAGAATCGCCAAACTACAAATATAATAATGATAAATGATTTAATCAAATCTTGATTAGTGATTATTTGTAAAAATTTGATTCTAAGTATAAAATATTAATGAAATTCATAACGCTTTATCAAGTATGTTTTTTCTATGGATTAGTCCTAAGTTGCACTACATATGTTGTTAATATATATCAAGGTTCAAGTTTTATTTTTAATGTTTTCATTTTAATTATATTTACAGGTTTATGTAATATTATTTGATTTATTTTAATAATCATTCGCTGACTCACGTTTAAAATAAATTTCTGTTATTCCATAGGGTTGCTATTTATAAATAATTACAAGCCAGGAAATTATAACATCCCTCCCCCCCCTATCTTCCAAATATATTCGTCGGAATTTTTTTTTTTTTTAGAGCCGTAATGTATATAATGTAAATTAGATAAAATTGCATGAAAATAAAAATTTGTAATTATAACACAATGGTCACAATAAACTATTAAATTTAAATGTGGTAATAGCACAAGTTCACATTACATAGTTCATTTGATGTTAATCTGAAGGCTGATAATCGTCAATTCTATAAATTGTATATGCTTTTGTCGCTATGAAACACCAAATTATCGTTCTCAGCTATCTTCAAGATTTTTGACGCTTTTTTAAATTTAGTTAATCCTACATGTCAACAATTTGGGACTAATTTTAAGAAACCGATATATATATATATCCATGTCCTGGCTGAGAGTTGAATAATATCAGGAATATATAGTGAAAATTGGTTGAGTCCCGGTGAAATTGGGACAAATGGTAACCATATTATATCTATTATTTTAAAACTAAATTTCTCTTGGTATCCAATTATTATTTAAAAATGTATAACACTGTTTCAATTTATTTCCTCATAGCAAAATAATAAATATTAATAGCTACTAAAGGTGTAGCACACACTATTGATAAAAATTAGTTTGCTCTTAATTACAAGTAACTTTAGGTCCATTTAAAACATATAATATAGTTATTGTAATAAGTAATTATATTAAATATATTTAACTTAGTTATTGAATAATTTAATTTTGTTTTACAATAGTTGTGGTTTTGATTTTTAGATAAAAATTGTGGTTATTTATTTAGATTTTATTTGATTTAAAAACAAAATAAAAAATATTAGAAATTTAAGTGTAAAAAAAATAGACAATACAATGTCAATATTGCCATATTTTCTTTAGTAACCTTTTATTTATTGTAGTTTGTATAGAACAGTGTAATTAGTTGTGAATCGTATTTATTGTTACTTTTATCGTGACTCATAATTTATTTATAGTATTTGAGGATTTTTTTGATATTTTTTCTTACGCATTTAATGTGCATACATATTATCTTTACCTTAAAATTGGTATTGTTTGTGTTATTGCTTGTGCATTTTTAGTTATTTAATATATTTAAATTTAAAATTTACAAAAACGTATTATTAATTATAACAATGTATGAATTTTTTTTATAGCTATTGTTGCTTCTCAAGCTCAACAATAACAGAATAATAATGTAACAGTTCCCCATCCATAAGTTAGAATACTCGATTCAATTATGACCTTGTTGGTCATGTAGTAGCTGCTGGTGGAGTTATTTTTAATATTATTGTATACTTGTTATTAGATGCTTGCTGCATTTTGCTATGCTTTTTATCTGCTTCGAACAAGAAAAGTTCCAGGATTTGCATAAGCTTGGTTGGAACTTATATCTCACAGAACATTTATAGGTCGTCTTTTGGGATTAACTCCACAACAAAGGTAGCTACTGAATAACTTGGATTTATTGAGTAGTTTAATTGAAATTATTTATCTATTTGACTCACTCATTAAATTTAATTTAGCTTATTTGTATTTTAAATCCAATTTTTATGGTGGAAATTTTTTTATTCTCGAGTGCAGAAAGCATGAAATACGTGAGTCCAAAATAACCCGATGGCGTGTCTTTATCGTTGTTTTATTTTATGCATTTTATAACACATTTATTCCTCGCTTATTTAATAATAATAAACATATTTATATATTATATATAAATTATGTATTTATTATTGAAGTGTTATTATTTATTAAGCTAACTTTCAACTTCAAGAAGTATATAATATTCCTAATTGTCCCATGTGTGATTGTTTAGTATATCAGATTATAAAACTTGTATGGGGGTGAAATTTTCATGTTTTGCTTGTGATGATTTACGATTGTGGATTATGGTGTATGTTAACACATTTAAGTGAAAAAAAAAACGCTTCTAATTCATAGGCGTTAAAATAAATGTAATGGGCATCTTGATTGCTGAGGATTTTCTTTTGTATTGTGCCGTTGTTTAAAAAAAAAGTTTTGCAACTATTGGTTAAAACTTCCGCATTTAGTTCGGCTGTAATAAAATCAAAATTAATTATTGTATAAAAGAGTTAATGTATTAAATTAACTGACCAAATTGTGTCAGCAGTAGAACAAAAAATGAAATGGAAGTATTTATTGTTATTATTAACAATGTGATTACAAACAATTCCATAGTTGACAAATTTATTTAAATAAGAACATTTTTATAGTTTTGTTAATAATAAAAATTATTGTTGCCTGATTATAAATATAAATTATTATTTTATTTTATTTTTAAGTTAATACAATAATTGTATATAATTCAAACAAAAAAAAATGCTTATAACTTTCCCGAAGAATTTATGTAACTAACACTTAATGTCAATTTTTCCTAACAAAGCATCAACCGTACTAAAATGTCTGATGTTTTCAGTTCGAAACACAAATATTTGAATGAAAATATATGATAAATATGCTTTAAGTTCATTGTATAGCGTAATATATATTTCAAAAAGTGTCTTGCTCGAAAAAAAAATATCCACTTTAATTTTTTAATTTACTTCTTAGCAATCATTCAATCTTCATTATAAATGGGAAGTGCCTTACTAGTTAATAGTCATTTCTGAGATTAGTATGATTGGTTAAGACTTGAAGTAAAGGTTATTTGGAGTATCCAATTTCGAGTGCACTGTGAGTATAATTTTATTAATATATATATATATCTACTTGATAACAGTATTGTTCATCGTTTAAGATTCCAGAAGAAACAGCTAAGTTTTATTTATAAATTCAGAATTTATCAACAGTGGCGACTACTATTGAAGTCACTCGGAAACAATTAGCTAGACGTACTATGAAAATTAATAAGTTTGTATAAGATGACCCAACGTAGGTACTAAACACTGAGGATAGTACATCTAATAAAATTAATTAAAAATTTCTATTCAATTGAACAGGAACATACGTTTTGATACACAAATGTGCACTAATAACCTGCAACACAATAAAATTAGGAAAATCGTAAATAAAAACAGTCAAACATAACAAAACACAGGCATACCTGTTTATATAGTCATATAAGTATATGGTTATATGAATATAATAAAATATACGCGTAGATGCAAAAATTGTTATATAGTGTGTAAATCTCTTTTTCAGTGACGTGAATAATCCCCCCCCCAAAAAAAAAAAAATCTTATTACTCTACGTCTATGATATTGTGACTGTATTTATGCTATGGTTTTTTAAAAATAATCCCTTAAATAATACATAATTTTATATTGCAGGTACTATAGGTTCATTTATTTAAGTAATTTTATAAATATTGATCAATATTTAATCCAGTATGTATCACTGGAATATATTATATCCATATATCTATGATTTATAAATGTGTTTTGAGTGGAATTTAATCATTGTATTCGTTTCAGTTTAATGTCATAAAAAGTACAATGTAAAAACAAACATTAAACATTATTTTTAACAACAACGTTCTGTATGCAATCGTATCTCTAAACGATTTCAACGTAAAAATCTAAATTATTTTACCGTTATTATGTATACACATAAATATCTTTTATTATGCATTGCACCACTATCAAGTGTTCTGTGTAGGTACTCTCATGATAATTAATTATACATACCTACAATCTATTTCTCATTAGGAAATGGGATATCGAGTGGTTTGCAATATGCAGAATATTATTTTTTGTTTGTATAACGTAATATGATGAATAACGGAAATATAGCGTTAAAAAGTGTACCTAATGGAAAATACTAATTTAATAATACAATACCAATACGAAAAACGTAAATCTATAGCTTATGTTTGTGTTTAACTTGACATAGGTAATGTTTTAAGAGAATATGAACAACTAAATTATAATTTTTATATTATAATATAATTTTAATTTATGTATAGAGCTGCGTTTATTATGATTTTAATAACATGTGATTATTTTTTTCGTATCAACATTAATCAATTTATCAAAAGACATTTTGAAAGGTATTGAAAAAATTAAGCCATTATTCCAAATGCTGACTTATCCTTTTAAAAAGGAAAACATTTCATTTGATGTTATTAAAAATTTTCTGGTATTATTTCCTTTTTATACTGAAGGAGCAAAATGCAAAGACATAGATGCTGTTCTAGCAGAGATGGAAATATCAATTGGGTTGTGCAATAATAGTGATTCAAATACATTTGATACTCTTATGATTAAATCTGAAGGAATGAAACACATTTTACCATAGGCTAATAAAATCTGTAAATTAGCCTTGACTGCACCAGTAAGTGTCACAACAAACGAAAGATCATTTAGAAAAAATTTTCTATTTTATGTTTAAAAAAATCAAGATAGCCATTTTGTTGAATCAATAATTTTTAAACAATTTTTAAAGTTTCTTAAATTACAATTTATTTCTTGTTTATTAGTGTACAGCGATTATCCAAAACATTTATTTGACATGATATTGAATTGTGCAAATTTCAAAAAACCATAGAAACGCCTGAATAATTTTCATTTTTTTTTGCGAACATGTTTAGAAATCATATCAACAGAATGACTATTTTGAATTTTTGAAAATTTTACAATGTTTTTTTTTATAATTTTTCAGTATAAAAATGTGTATTTTTATGTCATAACAACCAACTAATAAACAGAATTGAAATTGTGAGCTCTACGCAGAGATATCGAGTGTAATCAATTAGCGTATACACACTGTTTTTTTTAAGCGTTAATTTTAAAATTTAATGAAACTAAAAATTCCGACTTTTAAATCTATTGTAAAGGTTCTTTAAATAAAACTTGCCGAAATAATTGAATTATTATATAACGAGCTTATAGTGACATGAATTTTATACTTTTTACTTTAAGTGTAAGTGATATTGTCGAAGCTCTAAAAAAAGTTCCCATTATTTACGCAACATCATCCCTTGTTTAGGTGCATACAGCCACAATACGGTTGATGATATACAATAACATTATCCGATGACCATATATTATATTACGTAACAGTGCTGTGCCTAGCGTTATTAGTACTAGTTGCCAAAAATTATTTTTAGTGCCCTTATCCCCTCCACCATGTATGTTTATACCTATAAAGAGATAACATTAGAATAAAAGAGAGAAATTCATTAGATTTACCATTTTTTTGCACATTTCTAACTTAATAGATTAGTAATATAATATTTAAACTGCATACGTAGAATAAAAAATATTGATAGATAAGTACTTATCATACTAAACCGGTAACATTTATTTACGAATGAAATTTTTGTTCGATTGTATAAAAAATATCTTATCTTCAAATAAATGCTAATAAAAAATATTTTTTTACCTATATCTGCAAGGAGTGATGTGAACATTATTATAGATGGGTTCAAAATAAAATCGTACAACTTGTTCCAGTCGAAATTCTATTGTTAAATTATTAATTTTATAAAATAACAATAATAATGCAGTACACATATATTTTTAGTATATTATTGTTATTGACGATCAACGACGTCGTTATTACGGGATAAAAATAAAAACAAATTATATCCATACATGAAAAGGTATTTTTACATAATTGCCTATTATACATTTCAAAACTTTATCTCATCGCCAGTCAAAATAATGAATCGACGCCGCCAATCAAAATGATTTTATTAAATTGAAACCGTTAAAAAATATAAATTAATATGGTTAACTTTCATCTATCAGTAATATTAGATTATAAAAAGATTTTGGTGCCCTGGTGTTCACGACGCACCTCTCGCACACCCCTAGGCACGGCACTGGATGGCAATACAAATCAATGGACATACGGCAGACGCGTAGCAAGATTCGAACGATCAGCCGCGTAGATTCAGCAACCTCTCGTGGTTTGCGGAAAAATGTATGACGAGGACGATATTACAAAGGTCACCGCTGTGGAACATTTATCAACGTTAGTTGTGTTTGTTTGATCGCGTATGCACCTCTTGGCTGTGTATACTAAGTAAAAGCATACACACAAACACGTCTTTTACTATCAAATTTAATTGTATATATTATGTGAAAAACATTTATTACATACAAAACACAAAATAAAATATAATAGTGAGTCACAACAAATGCATAAATTATTGAAACATATTATTTTAAATGTTTAACGTACATTCTTACCATTTATCATTAAAAAAAATATATATAATATGACAGTAGCATTGCGCAGGAGCACATAATTTACACGCAGTCAGCCAACGTAATTTCAGAATACATTCGCACCTACTCACGAACAATGTGCGTCATTCTTTAAGAGATTCTCGACATGTTAACATCAGCAACGGTCACAAAGCATGAATCCTAATAGATACTAGATTTTTTTCTTTATCGAATTTGTATATAAAAATTAAATATAAAAAATTATGAGTAAAAGATCAATATTACATAACTATAATATATTTTTTTTGATATGTGGTGTTGGTTGTATAAACTACGGCCAAAGAAATATTATGACGAAAGGGATGTTTTATTTCTTACGATATCTATTAATATGTCTTGGTCTATTTTTACTCTATGACTCCAACCAATGGGTAATGGCTAAACTTAACAGTATTTAAATATTTTTGTATAGATGTATAAATGTTATGATATGTTGAAAAAGTGTTTATAACATTTAATATGAATTCAAATTTAATTCATCCTGAAATGTTGATTTCTTAATACCTTCGTGTTAATGATTCAAAATTCTTGATTTTTATGGCTAAATTATTTACATACTTTAATACAAATTTTTATTTAAATGCGATTAATGCAGCAAAATATCTCTTAGAATTACATATAAGTGGACATATTCAAGTATTAAATTAATTGTTTAATTATTTAGTAAGCCAATTATAATATTTCACACGACATGATAGAATACCATAAATATCTGCTTAAAGTTTTATATTTACAAGAAGCGATCGAATGTAAAATGTCGTTTAAATATAATGTATAATATTTGTATAATATCTTAATAAGTGAATTATTGTAAAATGTTTATTTCCAATTTAATTTTTTAGATATTTCATAAGGATCAGGAAATGTCTGAAGCAACGTCTTTTATAATGATTAGTTGTTTTGAATTGATGGTGATTGGAAAATTTATATCGATTATTTGGCGTGTATTTTTCGATAAAGAACTATCCATAACATTATCTAATATTGAAAAAATTGACGAAAAATTGAATCGTTTAAATATGACGGGCCCGATGAAAATTAAAATGAATTGGTTTTTCATTGTCAAAATAATTTTACATGTTATAGCAAGTATTATAACTGTTATGTTGGATAAAAATTTTTATCGAACATGTAAAATTGTAAAACAAATATATTTGGTAATCATTAGTATCTAAAATTTTTTTTAGTTTTATAAATAACATAATAGTTGATTTGAAGTAAATTAGTTGTTAATCTTTTGCATTGATCCTCATCTTATCTTTTAACAAATGTGTGTTAAAACGAATGTTTATTAACAATACTTAAATTAAAGATACTCCTTATTGATTTAATACGTATGTAAGATAGATTTAATACATACAACCATTAAAAATATAATTTATTTTTAGGTTGCAACTTTTTGTTTAAATGTTTGCCAATTGACTACATTTTATGAATATATTCTACTAACAATGTACATAAGATGGATGGTGAACATGATAAATGAAAACATACGAGTAAAAAAATCATGCTTAAGTACATTTAGAGATATGTATTTGGAAGTTGAAGAATATTTAAACCACATTAATAAATCAATTTATGGTTTGCCAGCTATCACTACATTTGTTGCACTAAATATCTGTGATATTATTCCACAGAACAAGAGGTTATTATAAACATTAAATTACGTTATTAGAATTTCGTTAAGTTAAATTTTTTTATTAAGTACTTCTCTCTTTGTATTTAATTCTTGGTAAGTAAACAATAATTCAATTATAATTAATTTTTCCATGTAAACCCAAAATATTTTAAGTTAAAACATACTTAATAGCATTATGATTTTCAATTATACAAATATTTTTGAAGAAATTTAAACAGTAATAGTGAAAAAAAAATTATCATATTTTAAATTAAGATATAGAATAGGTAATATTATTTTAGAGTTAATTTATTGGTTTTCAGATAAATCGGATGAATCTTGTCTTACATCAGCGGTTCATATTGGAACGAAACCCTAGAATTAAACGTCAGGTAAAATAAAAATATTTACTAGATGTGATTTGTAGTAGATTTTTTATAAATATGGTATATTTATTTTTTCAAGATCAAGTTTTTCATTCTAAGAAGATTATACAAACATTTTCGTTTTGAGCTGTTCGGAATATGTCATATTAATCAAAGACAACTACTTATTTTATTAAACAAAGCATTGGCTTATTTAATAATTCAAATTCTATTCAAATTAAATTAAAAAAAAAATGATATTCCTAAGTCTTAATGATTTTAGTATTTCAACAGCCATTTATATCACTTTCAGTTATAACCATTAAAAAAAAATTATGTTTAGAAATATGCATATAATTAAAAAATCGAGTGATTTTACCGGTACCGTTATAGTAAGTGTTAAGCAGTGGCGAACCCAGGATTTTAGTACTGTGGGTCTGCCTCACTTATGAGAGGCCACTGTGTAGAAGGTTCAATCAACTGTACATTACAAAATCGCTCGCTACGCTCGCAATTTACCTTATTTATATTACATATATTAATATAGTAAATACTATAACTAAAAGAGATAAAGCATAAGTCATAACTAATTTTTTAATACAATTTAAAACAGACTTATATACTTTGATATTATTAATTAATTCAAATTGAATGGGTTTTTCATATCTTTCTAATTTCTATACATCATATATCATAATATTCATAATATATTATATTTATATTTATACATTTAGAATTATATTTTCATAGAAATGTTCTTGAGTCTGTGTACATTTTATAAATTACTTATAACACCATATTATTAGTTTATATTATTTCTATTTTTGATTATCGTAGTATTGTACATATTTATGTAGTTTGTCATTTTGAGAGGCCACATTTTACTGAGAAAAAAAAACGGTGGGTCAGCTGACCTCCCAAACCCCCCCTGGGTCCGCCCCTGGTGTTAAGTGTAGTTCTTCATTATGTAATTTAGATTAACTTATGTATTAAATTCAGCGAAAAATATTCCTGAGGTTAGCCTATTTCTGAGGATAACAGTATTAGCATATTTTTTATATATGATTAATTAAATAGTTTAATCGATGAATTAAATAAATGTTATTAAAATTACGTCATAAAATATAATTATGTTTATTTATTAATAAATTACTTTCACCTTACTGTAATATTTGAAAGTATTATTCATAATAATTTGATTGATTTAAATATTTTGAAAATATATTGAATAATTAAGAATATTTATGTACGGAATATAACATATTTTATGTTTTTAATGCATTTAACTGTAATAAAATAACTAATATTTTTGGAATAAAATAGTGATTTTTAATTATGATATCAGATTTTCTTAATTTACAATTAAAGCATTTTACAATACTAAGGGGCTCTGCCTCCTTAGAAGCCTTCGACAACAATAATTTAATGGTGCGTCTCACTGCCGCACCTCGGCAACCTCAGCCTGGCGGACTCGCTCCTCGTCTTCCTTTACTGAGAGTATGTGCTCTACCATCCCGTAGAACAGCCGAAAAGACTCCTCCGCGTTCCTTAACATCACTGACTTTGCATCCAGGTCTGCTGGAAGATGGTCGAATGGCGGGCCGCAAATTATGTCCTGGATGTCGGCTGTACACGGTCTGTGCCCCAGGTGGGTGGACAGAGGGTCACGGAGAGTGTTCCAGTGATAGCACTCAAAGAGAGTATGCTCCACCGTGTCTTCACCGCCCCTGCACTGCAGACACATCGGACTGGCGACCCTGGCTCTCCTGTACAGATATGACTGGAAACAGCCGTGACCCGTCAGTGCCTGTGACATGTGGTACGTCAAGGGCACTAACAGGACCGTTTTTCCCAGCCAGCGCCTGATGGATGGGATGCAGGATCGGGTCCAGGACGCTTTCCTGGTTGCCTCCCATCTCTGTTGCCATTCTTCGACGGTGCGAGATCTTTCCTCTCTTTTCACCGTCTGTTTGGACGGCCGTATCTCGCCAGGCATGGTGCCAGCAAGGAGTCGGGACCGGATCTTGGCCCGTTCTAGGCCGAGTAGGTCAGCGGGAACCGTGGAGGCTAGGACCAAGAAGGCCTCATCGGAGACGGTGCGGTATGCACGGATAGTTCTCAGCGCCGACGTTCTCTGTGGTCGAATCAGGTTTGCTTTGGTCCTGGCTACTGCGGCCACTTTGCTGATCCAGACTGGAGCGGCGTACATCAGCTGGCTGATGACTACGGAGCTGAGCAACTTTCTTTTCCACTCGGAGGGGCCCCCTATGTTGGGGATATGTTAATACTTTTACGTTATGCGTTGTTTTTTTTCAATAATGTCATTTTGTAACAAATTAAAAATTTAACATTGAAATAATAATATTCTTTAAAAACCTAGTGTTTACTTCTTAAATAACTAGGTACTTTTTATAATTTTTATAACAATATAATGTAATGTATAGCGAATGAAATCCATTGTTATTAACTAAACTTATTGTGATAATTAATTTAACAAATGCTAATGTTTATTTTTAAATAGGTATAATTGTTCAACAAAATGTTTGAAAAAATAAAAATGTTTTAATGCAAGATCACATGACTTTTGACAATTTATCAGATATGAATTTCTCTACACTATCAAACGAAGTCTACATCTAATATCAGAAACATTAATTGTAAATGATTAAAGAATAATCGTTGATTTTAATATATGTGTTTAACCGATTTACTTAATTATGAGCTACACTCAACACTTATTATAATTGAGCTGGTATAAATTTCGGTTTTTATTTTTTTGTATAAATATCGCTAATCAGATATTTTTTTTAAATAAATAATAATGACTCAAAATTAAATCAGTGACTGTTAACAGACTAAAATCATTAAAGTTGTAGAATACGTCTGTTATTTTTTATTTAATTTGAACAGAATTTGTATTATTAAATAAGCAAACGTTTTTTTTAATAAAGTAAGTAGTTGATTTAGATTAATCTGACATATTCCATACAGCTTAAAATGATAACGTTCGTGTAATCTTCGCAGCATAAAATACTTGATCTTCAAAAAAAAAAAAAAAAAAATTATATCATACGAATATTAATAAAAAATTTAATACAAATCTTATGTAGTAAATATATTGACCATACCTCGCATTTTATTCTACAGTTGGTTTCAATTACAGATCGTTGACGTAAGACGAAACTCATTCGGTTAATCTAAAAATTAAATAAAACTATTAAAAAAGATGAACACTTAAATCAAACACAATATTCAATATTTAGAGATCTAATCATTTTTGTTTACTTTTAACATTTGAATCTTATCAAAATTATTTTTATAATTTAAATTTAAACTAATGATATCATGTTACCCATGGAAAAATGTAGTTTAAATTAAGTACTATTCACGTACTTATTATTGAACATTGGTAGAAAAATACTTATAAAAATACAATTTTTAATTATGAAAATTCCAATAATAATATTTAAAAACCTCTTTTTCCGTTATTTGACCAATTCCATATAAAATTATAATATTGACTATTTTTATTAGTAATCCTATGATCGCAAGTTCAAAATAATAACGCTTCTCGATATAGTCTCTAGGGAATAACAAGTGGCTGTACATTATTTTAATTATTTCACAGATATTTCCTACAATAAATACAACAATGACCGGCAAACCATAAATTGATCTATTAACATCGTTTAAATATTTTTCAACTTCCCAATACATATCTCTGAATGTACTTAAGCATGATTTTTTTTCCCGTATGTTTTCATTTATCATGTACACCATCCATATTATGTACATTATTAGTATAATCTATTCATAAAATGCACCAATGTTGTTAACTTCTGAAAAAGTTCTTGAAACCTAAAAAAAGATAATATTTTAAATGACATCAAAGTCGTATACCTATGTATTTTTTTTCTTTCTTACATCAGTTAGTAGTATATTTAATTTGAGTTGCTAATAAGCATTGAATTTTGCACACATTTAATTAGGACAAGACGAGGATCAGGGCAAATGATAAACGAATTATTTACTTGTGATATACTAGTCAATTATTTATAAAACTGTACAATATATTTAAATATAAATGATTGTTGACACTGATTCGAATCCAAATTGAAGGAATTATAACACCTGCTATAATATGTATACATATTTCATTAATGAAAAACCAATCCATTTTAATTTTTATAGGGCCAACCACATTCAAGTGAATCAATTTTTCATGAATTCTTTCGAGATTATATATTACTATGGATAGTTCTTTATCATAAAATACGCAATATAAAATAACAATATATATAATAACGATTTATTGTGAAATATTTACAAGATATTTAAAGTTACAAACCTAGCTAATAAATGTGCATATTTTTATATCATGTAAAAGCATTAATATTCATTGATTTTGAATCTTTTAATTTTGTTTATGAAATAATATTTGTTTATGTTAATAAGCACTAATATGCAATGTAAAATCATAATTATGATTCACTTATGCTCGAATCAAATATTTGAATAAAATATTAAAAAAATAATCATTTACATCGAAACAACTAACAAGAATTCTGATGTTATTCACTAAAATCTTTTTTGTGTAACTAAAACTATAGTTATAAAAAAAATCTTTATTAAATCCATCAGACAATACCCAATACTAATTTTTTGAAATTGTTTTTTTTCTATAATGTGATAAAGATGAATGTATTTTTACACTGGTAAATATAATGTTTCTTTTAAGTTTTTATAACTGAAAAAATTGTTGTGTATAAATCCAAAATTAATTTCTAAAACAATTTGAGATTTAATATAAAAATTTTTCTTTGATTAAAAGATCATAAAATGTATAAAATATTTATATTTAGATTTAAAGAAGTATACATTGTTCCTTATAAGTGTTATTAAAAGTATTTTAAGAAAAGTGGAGTGTAATATTGGAGTTTGAGATGTAAATGTTGCTAACATTGAAATTTTACCTGATAATTAACGACATAATTTCAAAAATGTTTGGAAATATTTTACCTACCTTATACAAATATAGATAACCGTAATAGATATATTTAATAAAGTATTTTTTAAAAATATAATTTATTGCCTTATCTACTATTCAGTATATTTTAACTCGTACATGATATTATCGATTTATTATAATACCTCCAGACACCTAATCTATATATTAAAATAAACTATAAAAACTTCCAATAAGTCTACATTATATTTTTACAATGCTCATATTAAATTAAATCAATC